CCCTCACTGACACTGTGGATCCTGCTTAGGATGCTCTCTCTCTCCCTCTCTCTCTCTCTGCCCCTCCCCTGCTCACTCTCTCTGTCTCTCAAAATAAATAAATAAACTTAAAATAAATCTACTGGATCTAAAAATTTAACTGATACCACCAGAGCCCTGTGTCTCCTCATCTCCTTTTTGCCTCTGTTCAATTCCATTTTTCAGATACTCCTCCAGGTGGTGAGGAAGATGGCCATTGATAGCCTCCACCTCAAATCTTCCCAACTTAAAAGAACTTTTCTCTCCCAATGCTTGTGTATAACTTTCATGGAAATTTCTGATTGGCTCTATTTGGGTCATGTGCCCCTCCCTGAACCAATCACTGTGGGATAGGGTGATGGAGTAATGAGATTGGCCAAGCCTAGAATAGGTACTAGAAAGTAAGGGAGGGGGAAACCTCAGATGCCATGATTGGCAGCTCTTCCAGGACCACATGAAATAGGGGAAGGAAGAGTCCCCCAAGGAAGGGATGCCAGCAGATCCAAATAGCCGGCATCATGGCTCCCACCAAGGCCATAATTGATATTGGAGATGAGAAAGTTGGGGGGTGCAGAGTGGATTGAGTAAAAGTAGCCGAGGGTAAGGATAGGCAGAGAGGCCTTATTTTTCTAAATAAGGCTAATCTGAACTGGACCCTGGAATTATAGAGAAAGTTGTTGCTGGGCTGCTGGGTGAGTGGACAGATGTGGGATGAATGAAAATATGAAGCTTACATTAGCTAAATGCAGTTAATGCTACATCTGGGCATGAAATGGTTAAAAATCTCCCGCTTTTCCACAGAGGGATGATTGAAGGTTGAATATGGATAAAAACTGGTACTGGAAATGCTGTAATTTTCTCAGGTAAATTGTGAAGTTGAATGCAATTAGAAAAGCATCCCCAAAATAGCTCTGGTTTGGTTGGCATGTGACCAAACCCTGAACAGCTTAGATTAGCATAAAAGAGATTCAAATATATGTCTTGCGCATATGCTCAAGAACCCGAGCTGAAGGAAGAGGAAGGCAGCACATGCCATCTGTTTAGGAGAAATGCAAGCTCCAGAGTGAGTTTGGAAAGAAAAGGGGCTTTAGTCTTTTAAGACCAGGAGGCAGTGAGAAAGCCACAGGCTCAGAGACACAGAAACAAGGTCAGAACCTAGCGCAGATAGAGAATCTGAGACTCATATAAAGCCAGCAGGAGAACAGTGCCTTCTGTTATGTCCACACCAAGTTCTTTCCATCAAAATAGTTCCACATACATCTTCTCTAAGAAAGATCCCCATGTATCTCAGCCGTAATGAGTTATTCCATTAGTGGTGAGGTCACCCATGGGGTTTGGTGGCCTGTGCCCAGTGCTTGCCTGTTAGGAATAAAAGGAGAGGTTTTGATGACCTTGAGCCAAAGGACCTACTGTGGCTCAATCATCTCTTTCCCCTGTGAGGTTCATGAACAAGCAATACATTCAAGAGCCATCAACAGATGAGAAATCAAAATATGACTTTATTTTCACTTGAATAGATGCTCAATCTCTTAGTGCAGGGCTCTCTTGTGAACACAAGGCTGGAGGAGCAAGCAGCTGATGGTGAGGGCCCACCGAGCCTCTCCTTCTGCACTACACACTGACCTCTTCTCACCCTCTGCCCTGCCACATGGGACCAGAAATGGCAGCAATAAAAAGTATGCCTGGCTATGCATCTGCGGAAGAGAAAACAAGATGGCCAGATCCCAAGAGGAGGCCTTGGCTCCGCATACCTATTCCTGCTGCATGAGCTAGAAGGAAAAGCTGATGGAGGTTCCTAACCCTGCCCTTGTTAAATGTGGCCCAATGAATTTCCCAGAATCTGTACCATCCAATGAACAGGTCCTCTCTGGGAGAAGGCAAAGGCCAGGAGAGAAGGGGAGAGATGAGACTTCCCTTTTCTCTGAATACTTGCTCCCCAAAATGTGGGCCCTGGACCAGCCTTATGGGCATCACCGAGCAGCTTGTTAGAAATGCACAATCTTGGGCCCTCCCCTAGATGAATAGAATGAGGGAACTGTGTTTTAATAAGATTTCCAAGGGATTCACATGCACATTAAAGTTTGAGAAGTACTGAGTTTCTGAATCCTAAATCCATTGCCCAAACTGTCATTTCAATCTCTGCTTGCTTCTCAAAATAGCGCTCTGCATATGGTCAATAGTTAATGAAAGGGTGTTTGAGAAATTCTCTTTGGCACCTATTTAATTCCATGTGAAAGGAGGAGATCACATCTGAGAAATCAGCACACATTTCCCAATGAGTGGCTTGGAGACAGAAACACACTGAAAACAAGCAAACAAAACCGTTCTAGACATCCACATGCAGCTCTGCTGAGCAGGACAGATGGGGATAGTAAATCTCCTCCCGCTCCATCCCCCCCCGCCCATAATATTCTCTCCCTTCCTCACTCATGCTCTCCTTCACCCAAGCTACTATTAAGCTCTTGTGTCGGCTCTGTTTCAGACGCAGGATAGTACCACATGGATTACATGTCTCTTGCAGCCCCGTCCTCAAACCCAGATCTGAGAACGATATACTACACCACCAGGCCAGGACACATTAGGATAACAAAAAGAAATTTGGCACATCAGTATTTCTCACCTTTAAATTGGCTGTCACGACCCAATTCATATCTTATTTCCGACCCAGCCCTGGATCTCCAACATTTGCCTGAGTAGGAAGTTAATGATCGAAACTCAGAGCATCCAATCCCAATATCTTCTCTTTGCTCTATCTGATAGAATACCTCACAGTAAAAAAGAGCCAGGGGCTGGCAAATATTTACAGATTGACAAGAGTCTGCCATAATTATTAGGGGATCCAATAATGACAGGATTTAATGAGTCATGATTAAATTATCATCTGCTGAGCACTTACAATGTACTTCCCAACAACACTATGAAGGAAGTAGTACTCCTATGTAACAAGTGGGGGGGAATTTGAAGTTTTCAGAAGTCAGATAACTTACACAGAAGCAGCAAAGATAGAAACCCAGTATACACCTTAGGTCCAAAGCCTCTCAACCACTACAATAATATGATGTTTCACTTATGAGAAAACAATGCAAACTCGCTGAGTGACTAAAGAATTATTTTTCTTCTCTGGGACTAACGTGAGGATTAAGTGAGATTAAAGATGTTAATGCACTTGGAAAAGTAAGACTTTGTAACATGTAAGGTTTAATTTAGTATATTAAGATCCTGCCCAAATAATAGCCCTCGGCACTATACAAATGGCAACGCTGTGTGTAAAAAATGCCAACCCTTTTAATACAAGATACCCCAGTTCATTCAATATACAGTTCTCATTCATCAAATTAGAAAATATGTTTTAAAGTTTAACCTGCAATGTTGGCAAGGATGCTGTGAAACTACGATATTGTTGATAGGAGCCCAGTCAGTACAACCTTCCTAAAAAGCAAATAGATAATATGTTTCAAGACATCTTAAAAAATCGACACAATTTCTTGTACGGAGAAATAAAGACAAAGATTTAAGTACAAATATAATTAAGATGCCACTCTGATGCCAGAGTGCTTGGATTTATAGCTCCACTACCTACTATTAGGGTGTCCTCGGGAAAGTCTCTGTCACCTGGTGTCCAAAAAGGGGATAGTAATAATAATGCCTATTTCACTGGGTTGCCAGTGCCATTCTCATGGGTTCATGAGAATGAAATGAACTATTATACGTTAAGTACTTAACCCAGTGCCTGGCACAAAGAAAGCACTATATATAAGTGGTATCTATTATTTTTTATTATCCCAGTGTTCTTTATAATAACAACAGTTGGAATCAGTCTGTCTGACCATAGAAAAATGGTAAGTACACCATGGTACAGACATAAAATGAATATTATGAAGCCGTTAAAAATGAGGCTTTAAAAGACTATTTAATCACATATAATGTAACATAAAAAGAGCAGGAAGCTATATATATCCCCCCAGACTACTCATGTTTGTCAAAAGAGTGCTTTGTACAAACAAGAATGCAGAAAACAAAGGGTGGGAATTACACCAAAATATTAGCAGAGTATACCTGGGTGTATATATATATATATATACATTTCGGGACTTGGCAAATAGTCTAGGGCAGTGCTTCTCACACTCTACTACCTCTGCCCCCTAACCGCAGCCAGTTGCCAGCAGACAGCCGACACTCAGGCTGGCTGGAAGGGCAAACGAAGGAATGGAACATCCTGAGGAAGGGCGCGGAACTATCCTGTAAATGGAAACTGGAACGCGGGCACGCCCAGCCCGATGGCCAACCGTGACAGGTGTTTTCCATCTCTGGTGTCTGTGATCCATTCTGCACAGCCGTCCGCACACACACGTGTCGGTGGCTCCCGGAACACCGCGCCGCACACGCCGAAGCGCACAGGGCTCCGGGCGCCTGGGCGGCCACACCGGGAGACACACCTCGGCGACGACCTGGATCCACACAAAAAAGAGGCCCTGCCACCTTAACAATATTCATGCCTGACTGCAAAGAACAAGAAGCTATGGGGCTTGTGCCCACGCCCCTTGCTCCTCGCCTCACCTTTCTTTCTAGTTGTCTAGGGTGAGTCTGCATGCGTCTGGGTGCTGGCCGACCACCTAAATCACACGCGCACACGCGCGCGCGCGCACACACACACACACACGCACACGCACACACACCCCTTCCCCCATCCATCTCTTTCAGACCAGGCGCGTCTCTGAGGGGTGGGTTGAATGGGAAAGAACGGGGCCGTCTTTGTTACTAATCCTCCCCTCCTTCGGGCGAGCCAAGCTTCTTCCGGGTCAGCGACAATCACCGCCACCCCAATCAGGCCCGCGGCCCCCCATCCCGCTGGCCGCGTGCGCGCCAGGGTCAGGTCGCCACCGCCCGCAGGTTGCGGGAGGGGAGGAGGGCGAGGCGGAGGAGGAGGAGGAGGGCGGGCGGCGCGAGAGAGGGGGAGGGAAGGCGGGAGGGAGGGGACGGCAATCCGAGGAGGAGGAGGAGGAGAGAGCAGCCTCCCGCAGCTGGCGAGGAGAATGGGAGTGCGGGGCGCCAGACCGCCGCGGGGTGTCACGGCCGCGGCCGAGCTCGCCCGGCGCGAGGCAGGCGCCCGCCGCTTTTAAACCCGGGAGGGCGCGGCGGCGGCGGCGGCGGGCGGATCGCGGCGCGCGCGGGGCGCCGGGCGGCGGCCGGATGGAGAGGAAGGGCTCGGCGGCCGCGGCCAAGGGGAACCCGAGCCTGCCCGCGGCCGGCGAGGCGCAGCGGCCGCCGCCGCCTCTGTGCGTCCCGGGCGGCGGCGGCGGCGGCGGAGGGGTCCCGGCGCGCGGCCAGGCTGGGGCGGCGGCCGAGCCCGCCGAGTTCATCCGCCGGGCGCACGAGTTCAAGAGCCAAGGGGCGCAGTGCTACAAGGACAAGAAATTCCGCGAAGCCATCGGCAAATACCACAGGGCGCTGCTGGAGCTGAAGGGGCTGCTGCCGGCGCCCGGGGAGCAGGAGCGGGACTCGCACGCGGCCTCCCTGGCCGGGGCCCCCAACCCTGGCCGCCTCTCGGAGGAGCAGAGCAAGACGGTGGAAGCCATCGAGATCGACTGCTACAACAGCCTGGCAGGTGAGCCGCGCCGCGCCCCGCGCCTCCGCCCCCCGCCCTGCGCCGGGCGCCGGTGGGCCCCCGGCCCCCAGCCTGCCGCTGCGGCGAGCCCGCGCTGCCCACTTCCCCGCTGGCACCGTGCTGCTCCGGGAGGGAGGACCCGGGAGGGGGGCGCTTTGGAAAAAGTGACTTTTAGGATTATACCGTCCAAAACTCGTCGTCATCCCGCGTCCCTTCCCCCTCGTCCGTCGTAAATCTCACCTAAAAATAACTGGACGCACAGAAGGGGACCCAGCTGGCCCGGTGGCGATGGCTGCTGCTACCGCTCACCGGTGGACCTGGGTCCAAATGCGGGAAGTGGCGCCCAGGGTGGGCACCCGCCCCCACCGCATGCCCAGTGGCTGCTCTCCTCAGGTATCATTGGCACCAGAGCTCGCCCTCACCTTGCCCTCAACTGACCGCATCCCAATGGCTAAGGACCTTCCTTCCCCAAGTTCCCTTGGCCTCGGTAGCAAAGGGCAGTTTGGCACGATGCCTTCAGCATCTTGAGCAAAGATGGATTCCAAAATGCCACTTTCTTCTCTCTGCTCTGCTGGGGCCCCCGGTTGCCAGGTGAAGAGAGCGATCTCAAAGGGAAGCTAGTTCAGGGTTGAGCTTGAGCTGTGTGTTAACATCCTCGCTCCCTGTAGCTCAGGTGCTGGGATGAGAAGGTGAGGTATACATTCCAGAGTTCACTTAGGGGATTTAGATCAAAGTCAAGCATTTTTTAAATTTTTACATTGGCCCAGGAAAATGTAAAACCTCTTAAAAAAAAAAAAAAAAAGGAAGAGTCTGGGTCTTTCCAGGGCCTTCCTGTGAGAAGGTGGGAGATGTTGGCAGACGCAATGACCTTATATTTGAAAGGCATTCTCTACTCTTCTCTCACCCCATTTGGTGGGATTTGGGCACAGTCCAGCCTCTCCGGCCAAATAAAAGGCCATTACTCCTAGCTTCTAACCCCTGAAGTTGCCTAAACTAGCTCCGGACAGTTGGAGCAGAGTCACTTTGGGAGAGTGACTGGGTGTGGCTGAGGATGGTGGATGTGTCTGGGGTGCGGGTGGTTGGGGGATGAAAAAAAAATATCAGTGATTCTGCTCTGTTCCCTTTGAGGTTGCTAGTACCTCTGTCTTCCCATAATGCCGTGTCCAGGATGATCTTGAGCCAGGCAAAACCCCGCTGCTTTATAAATTGTAGTTTACAGATGGAAAGGATTAATAAACCAGTAGTAGTAGCAGTTGTAAAAATGGTGGTGCTCACAGCAGTACTGGTAATAATGGCGGCAGATAAAGTAGTAGTATAGCCAGATGGACTAGCTCCGTCCATCATAATGTAGAGCTTGAGTCTCTTGATTTCCCGTAAGTCTCTGGCATACTTGCTTCTGCCTGATGAATAGTTAAAGGGCAGAGCGGCCGTGGGTGGAGGAAGAGGCACTCTGGATCACTAATGCGGTGATTTCAGAGTGGTAATGGAGCCTTATATTTAGTATTATCCGTGGGCATTCTAGGGTTGCCCCTCACCCCATGCTTTTGGCGCCCGGTCTGTGGCTAGGACTGCCTATCTGCTACCACAGAAGTGGTTACATTTCCATGGTGAAACCAAAGATGAGTCCTTGGTCAGGCAAGCCCAGTCAGGGTGGGGCTCAGGTCCGGCCAACTCCTACTGCTCCCCACCGCACCCGCAACCCTCACCCCACAAGCACTTTGGAAAACTTCAGTGGTGGGAGAATGGGGAGTAGCAGTAGCGAATTTCCTCACTGCTGCCTTCTCCAGCACTCACCACTTCTTCATATTAATAATTTATTGTGTGCACGGCATAGGCACTTCACTTACAATGTGCTTTTTAATTTTTTAAACATGTTTATTTATCTTAGAGAGACGGAGACAGAGCTCGAGTGGGGGAGGGGCAGAGAGACCGAGAGGGAGACACAGAATCTGAAGGAGGCTCCAGGCTCTGAGCTGTCAGCACAGAGCCCGACGTGGGGCTCAAACTCATGGACTGTGAGACCATGACCTGAGCTGAAGTCGGACACTTAACCGACTGAGCCATTCAGGCGCCCCAATGTGCTTTTTAATCTTTACAACAACCTGCTAAGAGATTGTAGAGAGAAAAAAAACCCTCCAATGTTCCAGAGCCATTCAAGTTCAAAATCAATGTTCTTGTCATCACGAACCTTGATGCACAAAGTCAGTGTCTTTAAGGCTTCTGTCTCCCTGAATCCAGGGTCAGGTGGATACACTTGAAAATTCTGCACTGGAGATCTGAGCGCTGGTCACTAGGAGGAAGAAATACAGTACCTTAATTCAAAAACCTGATAGGGCTATTTCTAAATATTTGAAGTTTTAATGAGAAAGAAAAGTAATTACAAGCTGAGCAGTCGTGTCAAAGCCAAAATCCGTATCCTGTATAGAAAATTCAGCTGGGAGAGGGGGTCCTGGGAGTCACCTGGAGATGTAGAAGCCTGATGTTTGGTTTCCTTAAATCTGTCACTACTATCTCAGAAATTCTAGCTAATAGCAAAGTATCCTTTCTTGTTAGGTTACAAAAGTAGTACATACCTCTAAAGTGTTTTTTCTTTTAGAAAATATCAACAAGTTTAAAGAAGAAAATACAAAATTACCTTTAATCCCACCACTTAAAGATCCCTTGTGATCTATTTTCTCCCTGTGCTTTGTTTTCTATACATAAATGTAAACTGTTTACAAAGCAAGGACCCCCTGTACCTTCTGCTTTCATTTCCACTTACCATTATGTCAGAAACATTGTTACACTTCATTCAAGTATTTTGGTGAAGATTATGTGAAATGGCCACATGAAAATTTTAAGTGTGGGTTTACAATTATCATCGGACGGCAAGGGAAGGAAAAATTGTCGTCAGTGACACACCAGTGCAGTGTCGCCCATGATATACCCTGCCCCCTTCATGCCTGCTAATAGGAAGGAGACAACAGCTGCACATTCTTTCTGGCCGAAAGGAAACTGACCCTTCCATCTGGGCCACAGTGCCTGCTGAGTAGCCCAGCCAGCTTCTGGTGCAAGCAGCCTGAAGATGTTTGTGCCCACAAGGATCTGTCCCCCCACGATGTCCTGTGGACATCAGCTGTACATAGAGGGAGATGTTTGGGATTTGGAAGGAACTTGGACCAGTCCAGAAGTACCAGAGGATTAGGCTGTGTTGCCAAGGGTATCTTCACACCAAACAAAATGCTATTGTGAGGCTTCTGGAGAAAAGTTAGGTCTGACGAACCCTGGTACTTTTCATGGAAGGCTCTGAGAGAATAACAAGAGGGCAGCTCGAATGTGCTAAAAGGTGCTTGTCTAAAAATCCACTTGGATGACTTGAAGAGGTCACATGAAGGGTGTGCAAGCAGTTATCAAAGTGCCCATACTTGTGCTCTGTTCTACCTTGGAGTCCCTCCTGATTAGGAAGGATCTGGCCAGTGCTGCAACACCTCTGGCTTTGGTTTTACCTGTCTTATTCTTTAAGGGATGATAATAATATAAAAAGATGGGAAGCATCCTGTTCTTTCAGAATTTCAAATGACTTTGACACAGCGATCAAAAAGATATTCAGACCTGCCTGGGGAGATATAGGAATCTAATCCTTACCAAAGTTGCAAAGGAAGCATGCATGTGTTGGTCTGTTGATCGACTCCTGTTGACCTTGAACAAGACACAAGACTCCTCTGGAGACTTGGAATGTTTTGTGCAGAATCTCTTGAAAGGCAGGGTCTTTTGCTCTACATGGTTCCTGTGAGGCTGTGGTGGCCCCAGCTGGGGTGTGATCAAAAGGTTGCAATGTGTAATGACTCTGTTGATATTTTCAAATGATACTCGAGACTCAAATGGCAGCGGTAAAGATGAGTGCTGACAGGCCATGGCGTTGGATCTGAAGGCTAGATGAAAGTCAGCTTGTGCCACTATCACTGGCATACCCTGTGACTTTGAGTAAGACCATTCCATGTCACTTTACCCATTTTCCCATCAATTTAGAGCTATGTTTAAGAGGGTTTTTTTTCCTCAAAGGGACAGATAATATCTGCTGATCCCAATTGAAGCCCAGGGGTGTGACAAAGCCTAGAGGAGTCAAACTGGGTGAAGTTCTGGGCTGGACATGAGATCAGGCCTGGCTACATAATTTATGGAGCCCAACACAAAATAAAAATGTGGAGCTCCTTGTTCAAAGAGCAGGGAGAAAGTATCATTAACGGTTTTAAGAGATAAAGCTTTTTTCTTACTTTCATGATCTTTCTCTCTCTCGACTTGACATTGTGCTTTTATTTGCTATTTAATGTCATTATAAGAAAATTGAAATCTTTAATTATTGACATGAATGTTACTGTTTATCTTTATATTGTGCGATGCTAGTTTTAGGTAGAAATGTGAAAGCACTTATGTTGTGTGTGAAATCACGTAAATTACACAATTCTCATTCTGTAGCTTATATAGGCTTATGTAGTTTATTCTTCCTAGATCAGTAGAAATGCTGACAAAACAAAATCAACTGGCATTATTTCATTTCTTTATGTGCATTCTTTTTTTAATGCATTTTTTCTAAGATTTTTTTTCTTTAGAGAGAGAAGACACAAGCTGGGGAGAGGGGCAGAGGGAGAGAGAGAGGGAATCCTAAGGAGGCTCCAAACTCAGGAGGGAGCCTGACTTGGGGCTTGATCCTACAACCCTGGGATCGTGACCTGAGCTGAAATCCAGAGTCGGACGCTCAACCAACTGAGTCACCCAGGGCCCCCTCTTTATATACATTCTTTATGTGTGCACTTTTCACCAAGTTTGGCTTTCTACTGAGTAAGGAAAGGAAAAGGAGCTATTCCCTACTCTTACTTTGCTTCTATGTCATCATCTTCAGCATAAGTGGTTGGCTAGGATACAGGGAAGTGACATAAGTAAGAAAGGATATGATGGGGCTTTAAGGTCATTTGTGCTTCTTATTGCTTTCTTTCTGCATTTGAAGTAATTTCTGGGTTGAA